ACACAAAATTTCTAGAGATGCAAAAGCCCTAACCGGAAGCAAGCATAGAAGATGAGAAGGGAATGAATGGCTTGCTACCTTAGATGGAGGTAAAACCCTGTGAAAAAGGTGAGGAATGAACTCTGGGGGCACCACACGGTCAAGGCAAGGGATCTTCAAGCAAACATGGCTGAAAATAGAATGAGGAAAGTGATATGCACTGGTTCAGACATATCGTCAAACACCATGCGGGCAGTGGTGAGACTCACTCTGGGTGAGTGGCAGAGCCAGCCAAGAAGGACGCCGGAGTAGAAGCTCAGGGCGCAAAGAGCGCAATCCTGAGGTCACCGGAGCCAAGGAAGAGGGTGGCGCAGCTGGTGAAGTGGAACAACAGGCGGCGGCGGCGAGCACAGTGCAGCGAGCAGGGGTGCGAGTGAACGCGGCACGATGAGGCTGTGTGGCTGAGCACGAGTGCGAGTGCTGTGCATGGCGCAGCGGTGGTACAGCAACGCACAGCGAGGAGAGCACGGGCGCAGGTGGTCGGGTGGTCAGAGAAGACGAATGTGGCAGTGCTTAGGGTTAGCAAGCACCCGTGGTGGTGTACGAAGAATGGGAGTGCGAGTGGATTAGGAAAGAAGGGGGCCGTGGTCCCACTTGATAGAAGAGAGTGAGAGAGAGGTTGTCAATTTGGGAAAGGAAGATGCGGGCCCCCACATGTCAGTTGAGTTTCAAGTTACTGCACAAGCTTTCTTCTAACTGGATCGAGTGAACAGGAGCGAGTTTGGACCGAGGAGAACAAGGGTCCGGAAGGGAATAGAGAGCTCTAGATCACTAAAAATGTCTTCGGACCGAGTTTGGATGACGCTTCTGGACCGAGATGCAGGGTTCGGCTCTCACGTAGTGCAGGAGAGGTCCAACCGAACCCCCATGAATTGGCTTAGATCCTTGATTTAGCAGGGTCCATATGTTGGAACAGAGGACCACCTATGCTGAGATTGGCTACCAGACTTAGTTGGATGGGTCCGATCTTGTTCTTCCTCTGGGTCCGGTTGCGGTTTTTCTTCCTTTTCTTCTCAATCCTTCATGACACTTTCTCCCAATCAAATTACAACTCAAATAAGAGGCAAATAAACACTAGTTGGAACTAATATGAGAGACCTCTCTCGAACCCTCAAATTTTCAATATATTTTGCCTTTGGCTATATAAATTTTTATGAAAATAAGCAACAAAAGGGGCGAGGAGACATCATGTGGTGACCACATAGGGGTCAAAACCATTAGGAGCTTCAAATGCTCCCCCTATCGGTGGACGAACACAGCGGATGCTCAAAACATAACCAAAAAGAAATGACAAGGCAACACTCATGCATATGCAATGCAATACAAGAAAGTAAATCTAGTTGCTTATCAAGTTTGATCCAAGGTTAAGCTTTTTCACATGCTTTTCGGTGATTATCTTAACCATGGTAGACAAGCCCTAAGTGCATTACTAAGACTTAAACATGTTTTATATTACAATGCAATACAAGGGTCAACACAAGCTCATCTTTTAGAGAAGTTACTTAGTTCAAGCACGTTGAGCTCATTCCTCAACCTACAAAACATAGCCTCATCCAACGGTTTCATGAAGATATCCGCCAATTGATCCTCGGTCCGTACACCTTCTAGTGATATATCATTTTTAGCAACATGATCTCTAAGAAAGTGAGGATAGATATCTATGTGCTTGGCGTGAGAGTGTTGAACCAGGTTATTAGCAAGTTTTACCACGCTCTGATTGTCACACAAAAGGGGTACCTTTTCTAGAACTACACCACAGTCTAGAAGAGTTTGCTTCATGTAAAGGATTTGTGCACAACAAGCACATGTGGCAATGTACTCCGCCTCGACGGTGGACAAGGCAACACTATTTTGCTTCTTTGAGGTCTAAGACACTAGTGATCTACCAAGCAAGTGTCACCCTCCGGATGTGCTTTTCCTATCAATCTTGCAACCCGCATAATCCAAATCGAAATACCCGATGAGTTGAAATCTAGCTCCTTTGGGATACCAAAGGCCAATGCTTGGCATGTGCTTAAGATACCTAAGAATTCTCTTAATGGCAACTAAGTGAGCTTCCTTAGGACTAGCTTAAAATCTAGCACACATACACACACTAAACATAATGTTGGGCCTAGATGCGGTCAAGTATAACAAGCTACCTATCATAGAATGATAGAGTTTGATCAACCGATTTACCTCCCTCATCTAGGTCGAGATGTCCATTTGGTGGTATTGGTGTCTTGATTGGCTTACATTCATCCATTTTAAACCTCTTGAGAAGATCCTTGGTATACTTTTCTTGAGAGATGAAAGTTCCTTCTCTCATTTGCTTAACCAAGTAAGAATGTAAGCTCTCCAATTATAGACCTCGAACTGCTTCGACATCAATTCACTAAACTCTTTGCAATAGTCTTTATTTGTTGAGCCAAATATGATATCATCAACATATACTTGATAAAGAAAGATCTCTCCATTAAGCTTCTTGGTGAATAGTGTGGTGTCAACCTTCCCAATCTTGAAGCCCTTCTCAATGAGGAAATCTCGAAGACGCTCATACCAAGCTCTTGGGGCTTGCTTTAGCCCATATAGCGCATTGGACAACCTATAAACATGATTAGGATATCTAGGTTCTTCAAACCTGGGAGGTTGATTAAATAGACTAGTTCATTTATGAAGCCATTTAAAAATGCACTTTTACCATCCATTTGATATAATTTCATTTTATGATAAGATGCATATGCAAGGAGGATACGAATGGCTTCAAGTCTTGCAACTGGTGCAAAGGTCTCTCCAAAATCCAAACCTTTGACTAGAGAGAACCCTTGCAACTAGCCTTGTCTTGTTCCCCATAACAATGCCTTGATCATCTTACTTGTTGTGGAACACCCACTTTGTTCCAATGACTCTTGCATCTTATGGTCGCTCTTCAAGTGTCCAAACTTCTTTGCGGGTGAAGTTGTTCAACTCTTCATGCATGGCATTTATCTAAGAATGGGGGTTTAGGCCCACCCATGGTAACGGTGTCAGAAATGCCTGTTGGCATTCCCTAGCATCGCTACTAGAATTGGTTTATCTTAGCAGCAATACTCAGGAATGTCAACTGACAGGTCATAATGTTTACAGAGGTTATCTGCAAGCACATGGATCCATCGTTGTAACATTTCACCCGAAAGTATTATTAGGGTATCGTTATTTATATTTTTCCATAGGAAGGCATCTCTACCCATATAATACACCACTTCAAATTATTCTACAGTCACCAAACAAATACCACCTCTACAGTCACGACCTAAACTACGTCCACCCCACAAAACGCATACAGAAAAAGATAACATTAAAAACGTGCGCATCAAATTAACTCTCACTCATTCTCTCTCATTACTCAACCACATCCGACGGCCAATATTATTTGGATCTCCTCAATCATGGCGACCTGCAGCAGCCGCACCACTTGCCAAGGCGCCAAGCCCTGATCGACCTCGCCTAGGGGTTCCGGTGGACCCTCGCCCACCCTCCTCGCGATGTCTGACGTCACCTCCGACTCGGCGCAGAGCCGCCGCTCGCCGCCGCCGCCGTCGATGCCGCGCTTCCAGCAGCAGCCGAGCGGGCGCCAGCCGCCCCCGCCCGGCGCCGACCCCTTCGCCTTCGGCGTCGTCGCCTTCATCGGCATCTGCTTCGTCCTGGTGAGTCGTGGCCGTTTGGCCTCTCCTGCCTCGCTAATCTCGCAGATTTCCACTTGTGATCATTCCCCCCGATCGCGAGTAGGTAGATGCTCAGCCACGCAGGCGCGCCTCATTGGCTGGTCCTGGACTCGATCGGTGGGGAACTACTGGGTACTGTGGCGTGGATTCGCGTTATCCTGCTGTGGGGCTCGGGGTTAATGGTAGGGCGTTGCTTGTTTTGGGGTTTAGGTTTGATGCATTTTGGATGCCGGTGCCGATCTGGTGAGTGCCTGCTCTTGCTAACGTATATGTGGTTATTACATTCTGCTTAAGTGATGCCGCATGATTGAATTGATTGGGGGAGTTGTGCAGGTGATATGAGCAGATTATATCAGTTATCCATTATATTTGCTGAAAATGAGTAGATGTTTCTGCCTTTTGCCACATTTGTTAGGGGCAATGTGCCTTCTGATACTGCTTGTTGTTGCTGCTCCTAATACCTACATGTTTACCACCAACCAACACACTTCAGGTCCAAATGGGATCTATTTGGTCCTGTTGGGGGGAATTTTATATAATAGTTTGGAACTATTGATTGTGTGACCCAATTCATCATTTTCATCTTATATTTCTATATTTTCTCACATAGTCTTGTACTCTTATTTGCTGTGTTCATCCTACTCCTCCGTGTGATGTTACTTGTACAGTTTTATGTTTGACGACAATTGAAGTATCACCTTAGGACTAAACTATGTCCCAAGCAAAGAAAAAAAATTGTACTACATGATGGTAGTTTGTTGCCTCTTGGGGTTCAAGTTTGGTGCCTTGGGGCTGGAATTGTTGATTCTACTAGAGCAGTCCAAACTCCCAACCGAAACTATGAGATTGTTTCTATACTTGTTAAATCACGTAGACATTACACATAGAAACCATATTCCCAGGATAGTTTCTTCAAAATATTTTTTGTCCAATCATGTGTCTTCTCTCTCCATCATCTACCTATCACATCTCTTCAAATCTTGGTTCATGTGTAGACATAGCTTTCTTTAATTCCAATGCCACATCACCATTTTGCTTAATTGGCACCTAATTAATGAACATAGAAACCATCCCTGTTTCTGGGTTGGGAGTTGCCTTCAATGATCTCTATCTCTATCTCTACCCCTATAATACACCACTTCAAATTATTCTACAGCCACCAAACAAATCACGCCTCTACAGTCATGACCTAAACTACGTCCACCCCACAAAACGCACACAGAAAAAGATAATATTAAAAACGTGCGCACCAAATTAACTCTCACTCATTCTCTCTCCTTACTCAACCACATCCGACGGACGATATTCTTTGGATCTCCCACCCCCGATCTCCCCAGGGGAGGCATCGACGCACCGCATCGCGACCTGCAGCAGCCGCACCATGCGCTGCTCGGTGGACCCGGCGCCGCTGCAGGCGAGCAGCGCGCGGTCGAACACCTTGGCAGTCCACTCCTCCCGGATCACTGAGGTCACCCACCGCGCCAGCTCCGCGCCGTCACCCTGCGCGGACGTCGCCTTCCCCATCAGCAGCTCCAGCAGCAGCATGCCGAACGCGTACACGTCGGCGCGGAACGCCGCGACGCTGTCTCTCCCGGCCGAGGACGGCGCGGTGATGCCGTACTCGCTGATGCACGGGTCCATGCCGGCCGTGAAGAAGACGTTGGAGGCCTTGAGGTTGCCGTGCGCGACGGGGCCGTCGGCTGCGGCCTTCTCACCTGACGAGGACCTTGGCGGCGATGTGGAGGCGCGCCGACCAATCCAGGGGGCCCTGGCTGTTCTCTATGGAGCCTGCACATTTGCATTTTTGTGAGACACTCTCAAACTTGAAAACTACTGTAGTGAAAGAAAATAGATAATGATACTCTGAATGTGATTGGAGTTTCATGCAGAGATTAACCTGTATTGACAAACATGTCTTCCCTGCATTATTGTTTATTCATAATTTTCCACATATATGAGACCTGTGCTTCCAGTTCGTCTAACTTTCTATTATGAGACCTGTGTTTTCCTCCATGTTTTTACACATGCAAAGACCATTCCTGCTGACATATTCTTTTTAAGTTGTCATCTCAGGGCCATGATGTACCTAATGCAGACCATGCTATTTTCTATAACTACAATTTTCAAATTCAACATCATTAGATGTACCTTAGTTGTAGGCTTCGTAAATGTACCTTGCAACATTGTCCATAACCAATAAGATCATTGCCCAAATTGATTCTTCCTAGGCATTGCTCATGCTGCTGCACATAAATAGGCGGCTGTTTAAAATAGGTTATGTGCTCTTAATAATTAGTTTATTTATTTGCTTGTTCTAGGAATTGTAGGCACTACTCCACGAATCTGAGGATATGCGATTGATGCACTCAAACTGGCCAGGTCTTCTCACGATCCTCGATTTTCTTAAACATCGATCACCTCTAATTCAGGTTTAGTCCATACTGTCTGCTATCCTCAGAGTGTCTGGTATCCTCATGTAACAATTCAGGTCTTTGGCCCTTCACAAAATCGGTCTCCATATCCAACTACATCATCGCAGTACTATGCTAACATTATCCTACCAAGGGCTTAAATAACAACCCATCTGTAACTAATTTAAAACTGATTTTACTAATCTTTTTGTTCCATGTATAATCATATGATGTACTATAATTCCGGCTTTGTTGGTTCCCGCAGACTTTACTATGACTTCTTAGTTTCCCGAATTGTATACATGCTCAAAGATATTGTGTAAAAGTTGAACTATGAAAAAAAACATTGGTTGTTTTCATGTGCGTCTTCAAGATAAATCCGTTGCGTTAGCACGGGCATTATACTAGTGGTAGTAAGAGTTCTAGTACGGATATGAGCAAGATAGACATACATGCATAACTAACCAGATGAGTATACATGGGTAAACATTGGAAGTGTAGATAGTGGACACACACATACACATCTGACACTCCACTCTGGGGGAGAGGAAGAATGAATAAAGAATAAAAGAATGTCCTACGAGGAGTAGCTATATCTTAATATAGTTATATGCTATGAGCAAAGTAATCATACATGTACATGAGTTAGAGCTAGGCCTATGTGAGATGGATCTAGAGACCACCGAGTACTGGTCTGCCAGCATCCTCATATGACAATTTATGTGCTCCAACACCATGGGCGAACATGGGGGATTATGAAGGATAGACATGGCTATCACCACCTGCCGCCTACCCCTCAATCGTGGGACATGAAATGCATTCACCCGCCCCTACATATCCAGGAACCTCGCCCGCATACATAGGAACCACCCAAATCCCCCTAGGTCCCTGACCCTATGGATCGATAGGTAAAGGACTTGGGCGTACCTGAAAGCATGATGAACCACCACCTCAACATAAGTCTAAATCTATTCATGAACATGGTATGAATGATAAAGCATTGAGCCAAGTATGATATGAACATGACATAGGGACTATATTCTAGTTCATATATCACGAATATATCAACATGACTATACTCTAGTTCATATCACGAACTATATTCATAAGATGAAGACATGGCTATTTGGAGAAAAGATAACTCTTTATTCTCACCAATTCTTCTCCAAGGAGCCAAGCCCTCCAAGGTAGCTTCTCTACTCCTCTACTACTTCTACTAGACTAATTCTAACCTAGAGAGTGGAGAGAGGGAGCTCAAGTGAGAGTGTGATGTGTGTAGTGAGGTGTGTGTGAGTGAGAGCCCCTCCCCCTCTCTTATATAGGCTGGGCTTGGTTGGTTTAGGGGGGATACTCCCTGAATACACCCCCGCATCGCCAGCCTCTGTATTAAGTGAACCGCCATGCGCGAAGTGGGGCCAAGTGGCAGGAGGGAGGGCACGGCCACGCCCCTGGCGCGCCCACTCCTAGGGTGGCCCGGCCCGCCTCCTCCTTCATGTGGTTGGCCTCTGGCTAGGCCTAGGCCACGGTGGCATTGTAGGTTTGCCCTGTTTTGGTCCTGGGTTGGGCCCATGTCCTTGTCTTGCCCTTTTACGCCTTTCCGCTTTTGTGCCTTTTTTATTCTTTCCACTTGTATTCGATGTAAATTCCTGTAGAGTGACAAATCTTTCGATACAAGTGGAATTCGGTTAGTAGCAAAGGTATATGTGTAGAAGTGTATGTTTCCCTCCTTTTTGGACTTATGTTGGCGGTATAAATGTGTCGATAACGGCCGCCAACAAAATCCCCCAAGCTTACCCTTTGCTCGTCCTCAAGCAAAAGCTAAGACGTTGGTTGTTGATCAGGAGTTGCTACTATGCCGATTATATTTCAAAGATGCCATGTTTATAACAATGTTTTCTTCCACAATTTGAATGAATTGGCATTTTGTCCACCCATTATTATCTTGTTACCTTTGGGGCTTTTTAACCTTCTCCATGTCTTGGGTGGTTGTAAGACAGAACAGTTTTAACAAGCTTGCTTATCTTTCATTCTTTGATTGACCATCTATCCGTAGGTTTTGAAAGTTTTTGCAAAACAAATTGTTCCTTAAATGATACACTCGATCGCTCAATTGTGTATGTATTCCTCACCAAAGGCTTTTGACTTTGCCTTTCTTTTATCCTACCATCTAAAGGGCTTATGTGGAGCTTGGGTAGGTATAAAAGTGGCATACTTGTATCATGTCATGTTGCTAAGTCAAAAACTGGACCATAGGAGAGACTAGTCATACACTTTGATCAAGATTGTGCAAATATGTGAAATATTTTTGGGTTTTTGTGTACTCCAATGTCATGCCTCTCTCTTTTGCTATTTTCGAAAGTGTGGGCTATCTTTTCTTTCTTTCTTTTCTTTTTTTGGCTCATGCTTCTTTGGCATGGCATCTTTTATTTCTCTCTTTTTTGGCTCATGCTTCTTTGGCATGGCATCTTTTATTTCTCTCATATTTTTGCATAGCCCAAACTTTCTTTTTGGCGGAATTTTGAGAGAGAGGTTCACAACATGGATGATGGAGTTGTTATTTAGTGGATGGTATTGCATGTTTTTGCATAACTCTCAGTGTAAGAGTCTGCATTTTTATTTGTGGGTGTACGTGAATCTTGATCATGGGTGCATGAAAAGAATCTCAACATTAGTCACAACAATTTGATAAAGCTCACCATGAATACGAGCAGCATATGACTAAGGGTTTGTATATGAATGTGTCATATGGCTTTTGGTAGGAATTTTGAATCATTGAGGAACTTTTGATTTTAGCATTTTGAAAATAAAAACTTTGGATGTCAAGTCTTTCTTAGAACAAAGTTATAGCAAAGTCTATTGCACTATATCATGTCAAGCAACTACTTAGACTAGATTAGGCTTTTTGCAACCCACAAATTTCAAGTTTTTAGGATAGGACATTTTTGGCCAATAAACTCAAATCTTGGAGAAAACCAAGCTATTAGCTAGGCATAGTTGAAACATAAGACAAAGCAACTATTCATCATCTCAACAAGGATAGAATCAACATTTCTACATCACATATATATGGAGTGGAATTATATTTTTGGTCTTTTTATCTTTTTGCAATTTTTTTATATGCATGGTAAATAAATATGCAAAGAAAGAAAACAAATGCAAGAAAATAAATATGCAATGCAAGATACCTCCGCGGGGTCCTCCCCCAAGCTAGCTCAAGGCCAGTGGTCCGAGGTTGCTTGATGAAGACTCCGGGGTAGGTACATTATTTTATATTTTGTTTTTAAATTTGTAGTTTTCATCCTTGTTTTATACTTAGCAGTTTTGGAACAGTGATCAAACTAAACAGTTGTCTAATTTGATCAAGGTAGACAAGTCAACCTAAGCACCATGCTTAATTTGAAAAGTCCATGAAAATATGATCTCTACAAATCATATTTTCAAACCAAGGCATACTTAGCATAAACAAGAGATTATTTGAAAGGTAAATGTTTTTATGACTTTGGTTTATCATTCAAAGTTTACATGTAGCAGGTTTCAGAACAATGATCAAATGTGACATTTAATCAAAGTAGGCAATTTAACCATGGCACCATGCTAGTTTAAAGAGCCTATGAAGACATGATCATGCACAAACCATGCTTCAAACTAAAACATACTACATGTAAAATTTGAAGATTAACCAAGATTTTATCAAATGATAACTATTATTAAATATTTTTATTTTATTTTGTTTTCCGCATCATATGCAAATAGTTTTAGCTCCATGACCAGACTAAGAATCTTAGTATGACCATAGCAGGCTAAATAACCCAAACACCATGCTTGCGTTATAAAACCGATAGGATGATGATGGATCACACATCATTTCCGTAAGCCAAGACAGTTTGTATAGAGGTGAAATTTTTGGTTTGGAAACACAATGTTTTTATTATTTTCACTATTATCATTTATTTTATACTAGCAATGTTTATTTATAGTATGAAAATAAAAAAGGGTAACTACCGATTACCTTCGGCGAGGGTCCATGGTTTAGAGTCCAATGAATAGGACTGTCTCCCCCCTTCATTGTTTACTTGATGAAGGGATATCCGTGCCCAGGGGAGTGGGAATGGGTGTGTCCTTCTTCTTGGGCCTCCACACCATTTTGTTCTTCTGTGGTGGTGTGGTGGTGGACTTTGAAGCTTCTTCTTGATGTTTCCACACCTTCTCTTTCTTAGAAGGTGTGGGGAC